CTCTGTATGTACAAATAAATAAATAAATCTTTAAAAAAAAAAAAAAAAAGCTAGTTGAAAGTACTCTGAGGAAGCAAATTATCAATCACCTGACCTCAGCTTTCCCATACCCTCAGGACCTCAGGAGTCATAACATCCCCATATGCACACACACTTTACCACCTCTTAGATTCACCTTATACTGAAGCACAATACAAAAAAGGACACAAAGCCTATCTGGGCAAAACCTTACAAATGCCTGAATGCTTAATATTATGTAAACCAATAAAAAGAATAAAAAGAGAGCTGTTTCCATAAAAATTAGATTGAATACTTTAGAAAAGCCTGACCAAGAGAAACTACTTAAAAACAATTACTGTCAAACCAGGTGGAAATAGACAATTATAAAAGTCATAAAAACTCTCTAAGGCTTTGAAGACAAACTGCTTTGCAAATGAAGCTTCCACTTCTCTTTAAGAAAAAATGAAATGATAGTTTATGGGGATGCAAATTTTTTTTTTTTAAAGTTTATTTTTACATCATTTTGCACATTTTTTTTTTTCCATCTCGATTGTAATCCCCGCGGGTTTCCCATCACCAAGTCACCCATGTGCCACCACCATAGTCCCGTGCATTTCCCTCCCTTCCCCCCCCCCCATTTTTGATCCCATTCCCCACTCCGCCCCCACAGAATGTCTCTGGTATATGGTTGTTCATTATTTTTGTTATTTTCTCGCCTGGTCCATTATACTCCTGCTATGAGTGAAACCATCCGGTATTTTTCTTTCTCTTTCTGGCTTATCTCACTAAGCATGATCTTTTCCAGCTCCATCCAAGTTGCTGCAAAAGACATGTGTTTCTCTTTTTTGGTTGCTGAATAATATTCCACTGTATATATGTACCACATCTTTCTAATCCAGTCATCTACTTTTGGGCATTTGGGCTGCTTCCATGTTTTTCCAATTGTAAATAAAGCAGCAATAAACATGGGGGTGCAGGTATCTTTTTCAATCAGTGTTTTTGTGTCTTTTGGGTAGATGCCTAGGAGTGGGATTGCTGGGTCGTAGGGAAGCTCCATGTTTAGCAGTTTGAGGAACCTCCAGACAGTTTTCCATAGTGTTGTACTAGTTTGGGGATGCAAAAATTTTAAGATGAACTACAGTTGGAGGACTTGGCTCTTCATTAAAAAGAAAAAAGGTAATGAAAGTATATGTTTAAAATTTAAGGTATATTCTGATTCCCTCCTTCAACTTACCTTTTCAATTAATCAAACAACTGTCAGCTCTAGTCATATTAGGTAAGATATGGCCTCTTTACTCCCATCCTGCAAATTCTACAATCTTGTCAATGGAGTGGGATTCTACCACCTTTTCTAAAGAGACGCTCTTTAGTAAATCTTTTTGGACATTTCTTTGTCCCTTCATAATACCTGGATGTTCTAATTATCTTGTGTTCACTTGCATAACACATTGTAAGATATAATTTCTGGTTTGTACTTCCTATCGTCAAACTCCTGCCTCAGAGAGAAGTTATTATTATCTTTTTCATTCTTAAATACTTTCACTGTGTATCACCTAAGCGCCTACTTTTTATTAGACTTTCTTTAATCTCTAATTCTTTATCCTTTTCTATTATCTGTTCATCTCTGCTCTCTCCCTAATTCCAGATTAGTCCATATTATTACCACTTCCAAGTTAAATTAACCAATTATCTTCCTCCTGATCAAATTTTGATGTTGTTTTGGTATCTGATATTCTCCCTTAAAACTTGTATATCTTCGCCCAAATATTCATATTCCTTTTCTTGAACTTCTCAATCTCATAATTGTGTGAGTCTTTCAAAGCTCTTTTCCTTAAGAGGGGTTCATTAGGTGATTTAATCACCATTTACACTTCAGTATCTCTCATATACATTTGCGCTCTAAAATCATCTAAAACATCCCACCAAATATTTCTTTCCTAATTGCTTTACAGCCACTGCAGCATAGGGATTCCAAAAAGAAGAGACCAGAACGCAGGCGGAGAACTGCAATGGGAATGAAATTCTAATTCTTCCTATAATGCAAAAGAAACTTTAACTTTATATTTTTTAACTTTAAAAATATCATTACTGAGATCTTACTGATTCCATGCACTAAGCTAAGTACTTTATAGGCATGATCTCATTTACTATGCACATACCCTAAGAGGTATATACTATTGTGCCCAAATACTGGAAAGGAAAACAAAGTAGAGATTCAATAGCCTGCCAGCCAAGATGGGCCTTGAAGCCGGGCCTGTGACACTAAAATACTTGCTCTTACTTACCTACATACTATACTGCCTCAAAGTTACTTCCTCCAAAATACTGCCAAATAGAAAGCCCCAGGGAGAATCTCTGGTTTCCCAACCTGAGTAAACCTCACCTGGAAGCAGACTAAACCACAGAGGGCAAGAACACGTCCTTTCATGGCACGGTTGAGCCAGCCCTTTCTCCAAAAGTAGGCAGCAGGCAGGATGTATGCAAGGCCTACGAGCCGTCCCCACATTCGGTGTGAGTACTCCATGTACCAGATGAACTTGAATTCTGCCAATGTCATATCATGATTTAAGCTGGGTGAAAAGGGAAGTCAAAAAGAAGAAACATTCATCTGATTTTTATTTCCAGGAGGAATGCCAGAAAATTCTCAGTCTTGAAGCCTGACAGATGTGCCTTCTTTAACCAACGCAGGATAATTTTATAACTGGAGGTTTATAGTAGGGAACTCACCAAATATAACTAAGCCAAATATCAAGAAATAATAGCATCTAACTATTTCAGAATGTTTAAATAATCAAAAGATTGAGCCTAGTGAGGTGTTTACTTAACTTTTTGTAAATACTTACATTTTAAATTCTGGAAACTGCTGGTATTTTTGGAATTCTGCTTCCCATTCCTCTTGGCTTGCAGGTGGCTTCATCTCCTTTATTAAATGCCAATCTACCATCGAGAGGCCAGACTCTGTCAACCTTAAGAAAGGAAAAAAATTTGTTTCTGTGTTCACATACAATGCTAAATTACTCACAAATGGTTTAAAGCAACAAAGTGGAACTGATCTTAAGCCCTCTAAAGGGAAACACATTATTTCCTTGTTTCTTCTTCTGACATTTGCTCTCCTCTTCTCCTTAGACTTTCATCAGCTGCATCAGATACAAATTTCTTTACTCCTCATTCTCCTAAATGTTTTCATAAAATTCTCCTTGCTTCTTTCCAAACCATAGATAAAAATGAACCTTTGGACCAAAGATATGTGTCCTAAATGCTTAAACAACATAATTTACATAGGGAAGAAATTTGTTGCAGGTAAAAACAGTTAGGTTTTGAATGGGTTTAAAGACAATAAAACTCATAGTTTTTGCACTTCCCCAATACAGTCTATATAAGATATTTTAAAATGAGACCACAGGGAATAAGGAAAAAATTTGAGAAACACATACTTTACTAGTAGTAGAAAGAATTTTCACCAAAAGGAGTTAAAGAAAGAGGCTCCCACTAACTAAAGACAGCACAATGTGAGCAAATCATCGTTGCTGCAATGGACTGAAACACATCAAATATCTCTAAATAGACACACTCGTAAATGATGCTTTAAAACTAAAACACTTTTTGGTAAATAAAGGGAAAGAAATTGAGTATCCTGCCTATCCTATGTAAACTATCTAAGGATAACCAAATTGCTGACAAGGAAAAGTTTCTCTTTAGAGTTGAGTTAATAAATTATTAGTTTTGTGCTGTTAATGAAATAACAGCTCCAAACAATAATCATCAATGGGTGTATTTGCAGCAGATACCAGATATTTAAAAATGCTCTAATCATCCATGAAGAACTTTGTACTGTCCCCAACCTGAACCTACCCAAACAAGAACTTTATAGGAAATAATAGGGAACAATGGAACATGTTAAACACAAGTAAGTAATCAGCAAAATCCAGAATGTGGGAAACGCTATAAATAAATTGGGTTCCTTCAACAACAAAAAACTATAGAAGGTAGGAAGTTTAGATTCTGAATCTATAAAATCGCTTTATAGATTTAAAGAGGCATATAAACCAATTGTGATACATGGAAATTATTTTTATTTAATTCAAACAAACTACAAACTATAAAAATTTGGGCAGAAATTTGATTGTATGCAAAAAACATACACACATAATGTAAAGCCAACAGTTTTACATAAGCCAGTCTTTATAAAGGGCTACTCACTACTAAAACCCTAAGCTGTCCTAAGACATCAGATATGTTCCCTTGAGACCTCAGTTCTGCAAGTAAAATGGGAGGGAGCTGGAACAGATGATGCCTGACAGTCTTCTATCCTCAGTTGTCTATACTTTCCCTGATGATAACCCCAAGGGCTGACTCACTATGAGATTACTCACCTAGTAACTCCACCAAGAATAACTGCTCCAGCTACTGTTCCACTGCAGATCAGAAGCCATCGGCCCACTACCTTCTCAGCAGCCTTTGAGGGAAGGGTCACTGTACCCCTTCCAGACTGCAAAGCTACTTCAGAGATGGTGCTGTATTGCCCTGGCCACAAGGGGCGCCTGATCCCACAGCTGCAACCACACTAAGAATCAAGACAGACAAATTACAACTGGACAAAGACGGAAATGCTTGACTCCACGATACACTCACTCCCACTCCATCTGGAAAGGAGCATTCTTTAAGGCCACAACTGTGCTGCTACTGCCCTGGTGAAGTCATTTCTTAGCTGCATTACCATGATCACTTCCCAACTGATTTTCTTGTCTCCAGTTTCATTCCGATTCATCCCCAAACTACAGGAACATTCTGGACAACATACCACCCCTGGACTTAATTCTACACCTAGATGTGGTTTTTTTTCTTTCTCCTGTGGGTCTTTCAGATTACTCTCTGACAAGGACACCCGTCTCTGACTGACCACACCTACTGTAGATCTCAATTTAGGCATCACCTCCTCCCAGAGGTGTCCAGCAAGAGCACAACAGGTCACTTGCATAGCACATGCTCCTCCCCTGGTACAGCCCTTACAGTGTAACTTAACCTAAGGGTTCACTTGTTTCTAACTCGCACTAAACTCTAGGTGTGGGGACAGCAATGTTTGGTCAATTTGGCTCCTTTGCTCCAGCTACCTAAATAAGCTACCTAACATAAGATCTTAATAAAGATTTGACCAATGAACACTTCCAATGCAAGAGACTTCTGAATCTTATCTTCCACTTCTCAGTTTCAACACGCAAGAATCGTTCAGTTTTGGTTGACCTTTTTCTGACTCTATCATGTAAGAGTCCCAAGTCCTGTCTTAAGGAAATCTTAATTTCCTCTTCTGTACAATGGAGTTTTCGTCCCAAAGCTGACTACGTGGGTACTTTCAGTAAAAATCAAGTCTATGGATAAACATTACAGAGCTTTTACTATGTGCTAAGCGGCTGTTGCATACTGAATTATTTGATCTTCACAAAAACCTTAAGATCGTATTTTCCTTATCCCCCTTTACAGGTGAGTATATGCACGTACAGAAAGGTTCCCTAACTTGATTGACGCTATAAAGCTGTACACGGTCGGTCCGGATCCTACTGAGGGGCTGTGGGCACGAGGAAAAATATTCAGGTCCCTAAGGAGCTACGGAAACGTGATTTATCTCATGCTCCTGGCCCCTTCTCCCGCGCCCTTTCCGCGACTCAGACCGCTGAGGGCGGTACCTGTGCCCTGGGAGCCGCCCTAGGAACAAGCAGCCGGACGCCCGGGTTCCCCATCAAAGCCTTCAATGGTGGGAAGAGTAAGCGCTGCATTCTGAGGACCGGGCACAGCCGCCACCACAGCTGCCTGCCCTGCGGTATTTTCTCTCCGCCACCAATAAACGAAACACTTCCGGGTTAGACAGCCTGAACCCCGGCTCAGATTGCCAGAGAGCAGTGACTGCGCTTGCGCGGGCGACGCCCACTTTCGCGGGGGCTGCTGGGGTTTGGACGCGGGGGTGGGGGGAGGGAACGCGCCGGGCGCGCGCAGCCGTGGGGACGCGCTTCCCTGGGACGCGCGCGCCCGCACTCAAGACTGAGTGGAAACCGAAGACGCACGCGGGAGGAACGCGTAGAGCATGAAGAGACAAGGGGCGTCCTCGGAGCGGAAGCGGGCGCGGATTTCTTCCGGGATGGCTGGTGCGGAAGGTGGCTGGGAGGGGGCGGCCGGCCAGTGGGTTTGCTAGCCTCGAGTTCCCTGCGAGGAGTTTGCCCCGCTCCCCACGGCGCGTTCTGTCACTGCTTCTTTAAACTTCTGGAAACCGGCGGCCCAGCGTGGTCGCTCTGGAGCCAGACGTGCGCGTTCGGATTCCGGCGCCACCGCTGATCTTCGTGCGACCGTATTCGAGTCGGGTCCCGAGGCTCGGGCGCCCGCCCCGACGCGCGCGAGGATACGCGACCGCTCCGCCGCCGCGGGGAGTCAACTGCGGGCGCGGTGCCCGCCGCGGCCCCGGAGTGGCGGAGCCTGGCGCCGCGGGTGGCATGGCAGCGGCAGGCAAGTGTAGGGAGTTGGGCACACTCCGCCTCGGTGAGCCTGGGGCTGGCAGCCAGACGTTCCCGGGCTTCTTGATCATGTTTACCCTCGAATCGAGAGCCTCGAGAACTTTCGTTTATAGAGTTAAAGGTGTCGATGCAGACGGCGGTCATTACAAGTTGAAGCAACGTGTAAAAATATTTACTCACTGGAAAATAACCACCAAAAACCCACTACACGATAACACAAGTTACATTTTAATGGGGGAGGGTGTGCGTGTGTGAGAGGGACTCTTCCAAAAAAAGAAAAATAAATAGAAGAATATCTGTTTTATAGTTTTGCAAGTCTTAGTATCGGGCGTAAGGGAATTTTACCTGGATTCTCACACCGGCTTCTGCTTTCAATCTGACATGCCAGGTGCCCTTCTGAAAACGCTGTCAGAGAGGAAATGAGAGTGAAAAAAGGCAAATAAAATATGAGTGTTTCTCGGGAACTAATTTTCACTTGCGCGGACTCTGAAAGGGTCTGAGAGGCTCCTACTCCAAGCAAATAACTTCTTTGAGCCCTACAATTCTTAGGACAAATGCCCTGGGTTGCCTTTGTCATAGCCCATTGTGTGCATCTCCCTCCTCTCCTGGACACCCTGCTGAGGTGTCCAGTTGGACTGATTAGTAACTCAGGGCCCTCGGACACCCCTGGAACCAAGGCGGTGCTCTTGCGAGGAGCAGAGACCGCCTTGACGCTCACAGGTCGGACTGGCAGTGTAAGGAAAAGATGGTTGTGAGTTGGTGTTAGTAGTGATAGATTTTCAGTTTTCAAATTAAAGATTGCTTTCTTTAAACTATTAAAGTATTACCGGATAGAATAAAAAGCAATATAGAAAAATAAAAAAGAAAGTAAAGGTAATACCAAGTTCTATACGGTTGTAGCTGTTATCAGAATATAACCAACAGTCTTCAGTATTGATGCATGAAGTAATGCAGTCAGTATTCTTGATTGGTCAAAACTCTTTAGCTTACAGAAAACTCAAAATTTCTATCACACTTCTTAGTGTAAATGTATGTTTTTATGAGTTTATAATTTCTCAACCTTTTGCAAGTAAATCATTGTGTGACTGAGGCACTGCTTGCTGTGGGTGATAAAGATTTCTCACATAAAGACCTAATTTAGGAACTTTAGATCAAGTAAGAGTGATAAGAAATCTATATAAATAATAATGGGAGGTAGAAAATTGTTAGTGTTTTAAAGAGAAGCCTATATGAAGAGTTCAAAAGAGGAAAATACAGTTTCCTGACTGGGAGAGAGGAAATACATAATTGTGATACATTGTAAGCTTTGGGAGATGCTGGTATTCAAAGATGGAGCAGGAAGGACTGTGGATAAAGGAGATGGCATAAGCAAGAGCAGAAACGAACTGGGGAATCTAAAGTATATAGAGGGAACAATATCTAGGTTTTTGTTTTAGTGATAACTAATATCTTTTATACACTTTGGGTACTATCCCTGGTGTGTAAATTGTCTTATAGTAGGTACTAAAATCTGCTTTGTAGAAAACAGGCTAAGTAACTTGTCGAGGATCACACAAGCGACAGAGCCAAGATTTGAAGTTTTTTTCAGCTCTTAAACATGTATTCCTTATACAGAAATTTAAATACTCTGTAGGCAGTGAGACACATTAAAAAAAATCTGACCTGAAATGGCAGGCCCTACCTGGTGGGACAGCGGGTTAAAGCCCATCATTATGAAGCTGTCCACAGTCACTGCAGAATGAGCTCTATTGCCTGCCAGGGAGGTGACCCACATGGCTGGCCAGACCTCTCTTGACCCGCCTACTGCTCCCCTCAGCAGTGTGTTTCCGTTCCTCTTCCTGTTCTGCTCCCTACTGTGTCTGTGGTGAATCCTCTCACCACCCCCTCCATACCACTGGCCTGTTCCCCAGTTCTTGTATAAGTAAGTAAATCTTTTTAAAAAACAGATTAATTTGATATTCGGTATATATTTTCCTTAGTATAATTTCTTAAGCTCACATTAGAGGCATTAAGTACCAATACATGTTATAATATAGATGTATCTTGAAACCGTCAAAGTGGAAAAAGTCACAAAATACTACATATTATTTGACTCCATTTATATATGCGATATCCAGAATAGACAAATTTATGGAGATAGAAAATAGTTTAGTAGTTAGGATTGTGGGATATGGGAAAAAGCAAGGATGGTTGCTGAGGAGCATGAGGGTTTTTTGGGGGGGATAAGGAAATATTCACAAATTGATTTACTGCTTTCATTTGCCCTATGTACTTACATTTGCCTATTGGACATTTGCATTCTGGCAGCAAAATATAAAGTATTTGTGGTAGATTGGTCTGGATGGATAGTACTATCATAAAATTGCATTGTTCTCCATGTATTTTAGGAGCAGCAAATGGATTTCTTATGGAAGTATGCGTTGATTCAGTAGAGTCTGCTGTAAATGCAGAAAGAGGAGGTAAGAGAAATTAGGGAATGAACAACCGTTGGCAACCCTTCCAAGAGTTTCAAGGCCCTCTGACTTGACCTTGGGAGGCCTTATAGTCACTAAAGATCTTATTAATTATTTTGAAAGCAACTAACCAACTAGAAAACATCCTGGAAAATGGTCACCTTCTATTTAGTCTTACTTCCCCAAGAGGTCACGTTTTGCATCAAATGGCCTTAGTAATATTTCCTTACTGACTTAATTTTTTTTATTGAATTTATCAGCATTCCTAAACTGTTGATGTAATGATGAGTTTAGGAATATTTTCCCATTTCATCATCAGGGCTTTTATCTTTTTTTTTTTTTTTGAGCATTTATTTTTATCTCAAGTTTTCTTTTATACTCTGAATTTGCTTTAACAGGAAAGATAGATATTGCCATCATCTTAGTATTGGAAATTTTTTTAAAATTCCAAATTTAAAACATACACAAAAATAGAATAGTAAAACAAGTTCCCAAATACCCGTCACTGAGCTTCAGTCATTTTAAGTAAGTGGCCAGTTATCAAGGCTAGCAAACATTTTTGAAAAAGTCAAATTTGGTCTTTGTAGGATATGATTTTTTAATAACCCTTTGAAAATGTAAAAGCCATTCCTAATTTGGCAATGAAAAAAGAATGAAATACTGATTTGTGTTATAACATAGATGTATCTTGAAACTGTCAAAGTGGAAAAAGTCACAAAATACTACATATTATTTGACTTCATTTATATATGAAATATTCAGAGTACACAAATTTATGGAGATAGAAAATAGTTTAGTAGTTAGGATTGTGGGATATGGGAAAAAGCAAGGACGGCTGCTGAAGGGCATTAGGTTTCTTTTTGGGGGGTAAAGAAATGTTCACAAATTGACTGTGATAGTACAAAACTGAATATATTAAAAACCACTGACTCATACACTTTAAATGAGTCTACTGTGTGGCATATAAATAAATTACATGTCAGCAAAGATGTTATCTTTAAAACACAAAAACACTTTTAACTTGCAGGGCATAACAAAACAGGTTGTAGGTCTGTGGCCTGGAGGCCATAGTTTGCCTTCCTCTGACCTCTATTTGTCTTCCTGCTTCCATCCCCAGATTACTTTGAAGTAAATCCCAGACACTGTGTCATCGCATTCTCAGATATTTTAGTATGTGTCTCTAAAAGTGGTCCTTTTTTTTTCAGTAACTAACCCAGTGTCACAAACATCTTAATAATTTCTTAATATCATCAAAAAGGCCCAGTTTCCTAATTTTCCTGATTGGCTCATATAATTTTGTTTTACAGGTCTTTGAATCAAGTTGCAAACCATTCATTTGTTTAACATGGCTTTAAGTTTGTTTCCATCTATGTATCCCTTCTTTTTTTAATTCATTTTTCCCTTATAGTTAAAGAAACTGATTTTCATATTTTAGAGCATTTCATATTCTAGATTTTACTGATTGTATATGTGGTATCATTTAATATCTTCCTCTGAGCCCTGTATTTCCTGTAAAGTTACAGTTAACTCAGAGGCCTAATCAGATTTCTATTTAAATTTTGATAAAACAAGTTTATAGCAGGATATAGCATCTTAAATTTTTGTTTTTCTGATATTAAAACTGATCAGTAGCTTCAGATATTACGCTGATCTGTCCTGTCAGCTTTTCACTTAGTAATTTTAGCAACGCATGCTTTGGTAGGCATTGCAAAATGGTACTATGGTAAACCTAACATTGCGCACATATTTGCTAGTCTACGTCTATAAAGAAATACTTCCCTTTTCAAATATTTGGTTATACTTCAGTTTAGTTCATGA